TTCAAATCATGTTTTTTATGATTGTCTACTGTTGTACTGATAAATATCTCCTGGAGGGTAAACTATATCTTGGCTGCAAGTATCAAGCTGAGAAATCCTTTGTTTTCTACAACTGATAGCAGTTGGTCATTAATTATGATGAAGTTTAGCAACTTCTCTGTAAACATTCGAGCTCCGTGGTTTCAGCGATGTCTTCTTCTTGTTCAATCCGAAGCAAGCAGCCTGATCTCGGTCAGCCACGCTCAGTCTGTCCCTCCTCCGACACAGACAGACTGAACGGGTCAGACTGAGCGTGGCTGACCGAGATCAGACTGCCTTCTCCGGACTGAATGAAAATAACAAACCGCTGAAGCCACGGAGCTCGAATGTCCATCGTAAAACTAACTTTACCGCGGTTTAATGTGGTGCTATGGCTCTGTAGACATTGCATGTTGCCGTCTTGTTTTGTGGTGTTTAGTGTAAAATACTTCCACACAGCGGACATGTTTAGATGAAAAGTTGGTTAGCTGTTAGCCACAGTGCTGCTAACGCAGTCCTCACATTATAGCTGGCTGCAAACTATGAACTGGATTTCCTGAATGTGAGGCGGGTCTTATTACTCTGGGTTCATGAGACACGCCGCCGTTCAGGAAATCCATTCCATAGTTTGAAGCCAACGTGCAGCGCAACCACAGACATGCATCATGGATCGGAAATATCGGCAGGTTGGATCGGAAAATCCGATACGTAAATTATGCTGGTATCGGAGTCCGATACGGATACTGGATCGGATCGGCCCCATCCCTAACTGCAGCCCAAACCACAGAGTATTGTCACAATATTTACATGGCAGTAACTATGACCTGCATGTGCATCTGAGAATATATAATGCACAACATAAAAATATATCTATATAAAAAAAAAAAAGATATTGTGCAATCACTTCTTGAAATTATGTATTTTCAGCGATATGAAGCTGAGGAATTTAAATTTTATGTGACAGAGAAATGAAAGGTAAAGGTTTTACTGTAACTGCCAACATATGAAGAAAATTTAAATTTAGTCAAAAATTAGGAAAAAAAAAAACATCTACATGCTAAATCCTTGTTAAAAATCTAAATTGGTTCAAAAATCTGCAGCTCATGCGTCTCTTAATTTCACGTCATACGTACTGTTCTTCCTCCAGCACGTGAAGACTCCAACGATTACAACAAGCAGAAGAGGAACAAGAAGCAAGGTGGTGATGACTGCTGGGAGTACACCTTTGTTTTCGGTGGACTTTGGTGCGCTTTTCATTTCTTCAACTTTAACCAGAGGTTCACTTGGCTCAGCTACGGTTTGCTTCTCTTGGATAGCTGCTGTCTTTGAAATGTTGTGACCTTGCTTTGTCTTGCTTTGGACATACGTCTCCATTTCTGCAAGCAAAAAACAACAAACAGGACTTCAGCTCATTTGGTTAGGGTGGGTGAATTGTCTGGGTTAGAGGCTAAAATGAACACACATTATAAAAAAATAAAAGTCAAAATATTTTTGTCCACAAAGAACTAAATGAAAAATGATATCATGAAGTTTAAGAGTTAGCATGTGTATTATTTTAAAAAAAAAAACTTTAATCACGAAGGAAAATCTACTTTCTACAATGCAATGTCAATTTTATATATATGGAATGTGAAATAAGTGATTGCATAAACATTTATCCTTTTAAAATGTCAATCCGAATTCAACTTAGAGAAAAGTTTATTGAAAAGGTCAGGGGATGGATACAAAAAGATTTGCAAGGCACTAAAAATCCTTGTTAGCGCTATTAAATTCATCATTAAGAAATGGAAGGACTATAGGAAACGTGTAAATCTACCAAGAGTAGGTTGTCTTCACAAACTGAGTGACCACGCAAGGAGAATAGTGAGAGACCACCAAGACACCTGTGAGCACTCTGAAGGAGTTTCAAGCTTCAGCAGGTAAGATAGGAGAGAATGCACAAACAGTTGTTTTTCAGACAGCATCTGGTTGTCTTCAGGTTTCTCTACATTATATTTTACAACATTCATTTTACCCTCTATTTTTTATAAGCCTTCCAGGGAAGGCAGAGAAGCACTTAAAGCTTTATACTCTTTCACAAAACACCCCAAGCACTTAGGAGCATTCTGATGGTCTTAGATTGATTTCCAATTGGGCCGAGGTGGCAAGGGGGGTTGAGGTCATCCCACCCCTGATGCAGCTTTGTGCTGCCAAGTGTAGTAGTAACAGAGCTGAAACAGTCTCTCTTTCTGAAGACATTGGATGACAAAAGGCTCAACTCCGGTGCTCTTCACTGACGCCCTCCCTTTCTCTTTAACCATCCAAAATTGCGGTTTTGGATTGTTAAAAGCAGCTAAGCTGAGAAGCTAAGCTACGAGCTAAGCCAACAGGCCGACCTCAGAAAAAAAAAAAAAAAAACTCTGTCTTGTCAAAGCTCCAAAATTCACGGTCGAAACCTGTGCCTTCGTCTAAAAACTTGTTTTCTCTGCAAAAAGAAGCTGAGAACTTGTTTACTGATTTCTTTAATTAAAAACTTTGTGTGAAAAATGCCATACTAAAGAGCTCAAAGCACACAGAGCGTCTGCCATTTTAAGAACTGAAAAACAGGAACGAGAGACAGCCCATGTCTTGTCAACGGGCCTCCCTCCCATTTTTCTTAAAGAGACACGCTGTTCGCTCCCTCACTATCCATCCTTTGGTTCAAACAGTCTTGGACTGCCATCCAGCGGTCAAAAAGGTACTACACACAAAAATTAACCAATTAATCACCCAGCAAAATTTGTTATTGTGACAGGCCTAATAACCACAAAGAGATTCACTAAACTGAGTTAATTTATCATGTCTGAAAACAATACGAGGGAGATGTCAATCAGGCATTCAGTTAGTCATGCTCCATGTCAATGCATCTGAGTTCTGCTCCACACCTCTTTAGGTTCATGCAGGATCAATAAAGATCTATCTTATCTTATCTGATCTTATCTTATTATGCTTGCTTTATTATACAGCTTTTTTCCCTCACTTGCTCTGGAACAAGGCGCAGACATTCTCTTCCCTCTCCTGTTCTCCTCCTGCTTTTTGCTCTCTGTCTGTGTATCGGAGCTCCTATGTTACACATCTTCCAAAATGAAAACTACTGTTTTGGATCTGACCAACTCTGTTAGTTCATGTCTCGTACACAAAAACTCAAATACATTCTCTGACTTAGTTCAATCTGTACTTGTTGATACCAAAAGGCAAGCAGATCCAGAAGCAAAGCAGATCCAGAAGCAAATCAGATACAGATAAAGGTCATTTCTACGCAAATGACAAAATCTTTTCAACAAAGCGACAAGGTCCTGGAGAACCCTCATCTGGTCTGACGACACGTACAGCTGGATATATCCCTGGGGAAGTGGAATGTGATGCGTCTATCTCTGCTGTCCATCGAGGATACCAAAATTGCATATAATTGGATTTATGATAACAGGTTTCCTGTTTTGGAATAGTCTTGTTCCTGGTTTATCAACGTACAAAGAAGACGGCCGCAGCTAATCTGGCCCTCGTCAGGCTGCTGCCTATGTGAAGGTTGGTTTGTGCTTTGAGGACTCAAAATCAGCTGATTTACGAACTAAACCGTTAGATGGAAGTGATTTGAATCGCAGGCCACCTGCGGCTTTGGGACTCGTCAGCATGAAACAACCTTGAAGAGGCTCATAAGCACGAACCGGTAGAATGCACCCTAATCTGGACATTTCGGATCTTGGAAGTATCAGTAAGAGTCAAGGCTGACAAGAAAAATAGTCTGCCTGAATAAATTGACAACAATTGTGGCTTATCTGAATCCGACTACCCGGTTGGCCTCGAAACATGCCGACTTATCAATTTCTTCTGGGAAATGTGTAAACTAAGCTTGGTCTATTGCAACACCCCCCCCCCCCCCCCCCAACTTGTGTGGAGGCTTATCAGAACTGTGCCAGCTGGCCATCATCTTATCAGGACAATGGACTATCTGTCAGTGCTTCATGGACCGCCTCGTCTTCAAACGCATATGTAACGTGTTCATAAATGTGCTGGCAGAGTTTATTTGATGTCTTAAATCATGTCCTGTTAAGACAAGGTGTCCTAGGTGAAGAGATCTTTTTTGTAATGCCACTACCTTCTCCTCATGGCTTTGTCCCTTTTTCTATCTAAAAAAAGTATTCTGAAAAGGATAAGAGGCTGCGCTATCACAGCAGCAGCTACGTGCACTCCGCCCATCTTTCGGACGACTGTACGGACTTATTCTCGTTGTATCTCGGTGCAATGATATTAAAGCTTATTCTGATTCTGATTATTTCTGAAAGCTCACGTCTGTGTGGGACAAGACTCCATCTGTGATTTATAAACAACCAGAAGCAACATAAACACAGACTGGTCTTTGGAGTCATTTTGCTAAAATTTGAAATCTGAAATTTAAAATTTGCACAAACTGGTTTGTGGAAGCGCCTTTAGACTAGAGAAGAATGTGGGCGACAGTTGAAGTCAAAATTTTGTCAAAACTGACCTTTTGTCAAAAAGGCCAATTTATATTGACTGTGACCGTTTTATAGGGGGAATACATGATATATAGGAACCGTCAGTGAATCAATTAAAAAAATATACATTTATGAGGTGTATTTTCTTTTTTTAATTAGGTAGATGTCCCTTGCATTTACATGGATTTCAACTTTTACTGCAGCAGACCTACAGGAAGTGCTTGTGTTGATTCAGCTCATAGTTATATAAAACGCAACAGGGCGTACTAGTCACGTGATCTTGTGATTCACTGGAGATGGCCTTAACCAAAAAATGTTCCTACCGTGCGTTACTTTTTTTATATCACAATAAATAAAACAGAAGGCAGAAGAAAAGTGTTATCAACATGATGAAGATAAAATCTGCTGCTCTTACGTAAAAGTTCTTGGATCTCAATTCCAGCTTTCTTGACGGAGCGATGCAACTCTAGAAAAATGTAATAATTTAATATAATAAAATGTTTACAGATTAAAGCAAAACATTATTTTTCAAGTTTAGTTTACATGTTTGAATAAGACAACTCATGAATAAAAAACATGAAACAGCTAATTATTAAACTCCATGTTTGAAATAAACAAAACTAGTTTCTATGAAAATGTGAACATTCCTAGCATTCACTGGTTCATCAGATATTTGAACACATAAACAGACAGGGGCAAATTCATGAAAGAATTTGACATGTTTTTATAAGTATGCGTCACTTTTTATGAATCAATTCAGCTCAGTGTGACAATAAATTAAAATAAGCTTACTCTCTGCAGTAAACTTGAAAACTGTTTTACTGCCCACGTCCCCAACGAAGACGCTGCCGTCTGGAGTTACGACTATGTCGTGGGGCATTTTAAACTCCTGGTAAAAAGAAACAAAACACAGGTCAATTCAGAAATCAGTTTTTTTTAAACAAACCATAAAACATTGAAATACCTTGTTTTGGGATCAGTAAACATTCTGTGTAATTCATTTTTAAATTTAAATATAAATTCAGTTTTTCGAAAACTTGGGAATTTTGATTATAATAAATAAATAAATAAAACAGCTGTGGTAGCTCTGTGGTCAGTGCTGGTGTTGTAATCCTGCGGCTGCAGGTTCGAGCCCAGGTTGTGTCAGGAAGGGCATCCGATGTAAAAAAAAAAAAAAAAGAAAGTCAAATAATTTGTGCAAGTTTGTTCGCAGTAGCAACCCTTAAAAAGGGAGCAGCTTAAAGAAAACTTGTCAAGTGGCAAGAATCTGATCTGCAGTAGCCGAATATTTTACCTGAAGCTACAGGAGCTAACAGATCTGGACTCTTCCTCTCAGTTTGTGCAGCTGCTGTGTCAACAATGCTAAGGACTCAGAGCCACAAACGCAAATAAAGTACAGCACAGAACAAAGTATGGATTTGTCTGTAAATAAACACAGTTCAAGGCCTTTTTGTGTTCACATTTCAGAACTAAATGTATAAAATCAGCAGCACTTTACGTGGTATAAAACTTGGGCTCGACCAGTGAAGACGCTTTGAAAGAGTCGAAACAAAACAGCATCTGGACAAGTCAGATTTATTTTAGTCTAATTTACAGGTAAGCTAAACCAAACCAGTGATGTTATGTTAATTTATTATAGTTTTGTTTATGTAGTTTTTATTTACATATATGCCATGTGCTGCATTCCAATTAATATATGGTATAAATGTATAGTTTTTAAGTTGTTTAAGTCATAATTCATAAACCAACTCAAGTATCCAGTGGTAGAAGCTACTTAACACTAAAACTTATAATGAACAAAAAGAAGTGCAGAAACACAAAAGTAATTAAAATCACTTGTTCTAGTGAGGAATAAAAAAAAGGACATCTTCATTTTTACTGACAATTACCCAGTAATGAACATAACTGTATAAAGTATCTATGTTTTTTTCTACAATAAGTTTATACAACAAAAATAAGAAACAACTTGGTATTTTATTAGGTTTTCTCAGAATAATAATGTGGTCTCAGAGTGGATAAAAAAACATTAGTTTTAGTTTGTTATGGCACAAAAACTTAGACCATTGTTTCGGTTTGCCAACAAAGCACTGGTCTACAGCGCCTAAGACTAAAACTTGTAAAGTTAAGGTGTTCATGCTCAAACAAGCAGCATTTATATGTTTTGAGGGACAGTGACGTGTGTTTACCTTCTTGTTCGGACTGAACGTATCCAGAATCCTTTTGGTTGAATAACTGACCACAAAACCTTTGAGTGGAGTTGAGCGATACAGTGACTCCCCGTTTACTGCGTAAATCAAGTCATCTGTGTGTACACAGCAGAGGACACACAGGAAAAAACATATAGAAAAATAACTTTACTTTGTTTATATTTAGACAATATCAAAGCAATAATTAAAGCCAAAACACCAAAGGGTTGTAACTCCACTGAATGAAGTGCTGATGAGCACCAGGACAAACAGAAACACACGTGATGTTTGCAGCTGGATCAACTCACCTTCAGCAGGAGTGAAGGCGATGGCAAACACTTTCCCTCCAAACTCGTCTTTTTTTATTTCTTTGACAAATTCTCCAGTTTCAGCTAAGAAGCACTGGATACGTCCATTCTCCCTGTCAGCCACACAAACTTCTTTTCTGTCAGGAAGGAACACCAGGCTGTGGGGGATCTGAAATGGTGTGCGCCTTCTCCTGTCCGAGGAACCTTTAATTAGAAACAAAGGACGAAATCAATACCAATATGCCAGTTCTGTCTTATTGTGCCTTAGCAGTAATAATATGTGTTAGAGCTGCTGTTTTTCTTTACAATTTGAGGTACTGTTAGATTTTATCATGAACCAAATGCCATGAATTACATGCCTTAGGTAGAATTCAGATGCTGGTAAAGCCTTTCAGGAGCAAAGGTGGGAAAGGTTTCATCACTTTAAATGGCTGTATAAGTAAATCGTAATGACTATATGAAAAAACAAATACATATTGGGATGTCCTCAAAGGCACATTAAATATCTCAAAATCTGAAGAAATTGCAAAAGACAAAGCTATTGACTTAATCTAATAAATCTAAAAACACCATTAATGTTGAAAGGTCCAGGAGCAATAAATACTAAATACTACCATCAATTTTGCAGTACATGGCTATTTTGGCAGGAACATTAAGACAATCCTGCCAGACATGACCTTTGGATGGTTGGATGCTAACTGCACTTCTGGGGTGGAGATGGGGTAGAGGCAGGGCAGCCAACTTGGGACAAGAAAGTCGCGGTTCGACTCCCAGACATCCCCACATGCCGTTGTGTCTCTGAGCAATCACCTAATCCCTAACTGCTCCCAGGTGCTTACATAGCTGCCCACTGCTCCACCTGGGTGTATCTCAGGTGTGATGAATTAAACGCAGAGAACTAATTTCATCTTTATATGGGGACATACATTGATGACAATCTCAGACTTCCCTTCCTTCCCTCCCTAAATGACCACAGTTTTCCATGTAAATAACTGTGCAATGCAAAAATACTGCACTGTAAAGACCGATTAAAAAAAGCCTCCGAATGAATTTCTATAAAATTTTGGAGATTGGAACAACCTTGGTCTTTGCTGCGTTATTAACTAGGACGTAAACTATTTCTTCAAACTTATAGCTGTTCATAAAGTTATTTCAGAAGCTTACTTCAAACTGTCCAAACTATGTCGTTGATTAAAAATCTAAAATTTGAGAAGATCACATGGAGACAGAAAGATGTTCTACAGAAGTGAGCAGAGACCCTCGCTCTTTTCTGTTGTTCCTTTACATTATTTTGAGGCTTTTATGACTTTGTTGGTTTAAGTGTTTATAAATTGAATTAGATACCTGCACCCCACTGAGTCAGATATTTTCCATCAGCAGAAAACTTCAGTATCCTTGCATTGCAGTAGCCATCAGACACAAAAATGTTCCCGGTTTCTGTGTCAACAGCGACGTCCGTGGGCTGGCAGAAGTGGTTGATGTCACTTCCAGGTGTGAAGGCCTCTCCCAGTTCCAGCAGGATTCGGTCTCTGCCATCACTGCTCACTTTTAACACCTGAAAAAAGAACACATTTATTTGTTCAGCGGTCAAAGTTGTGACCAGATGACAGGTATGAGTTTTAAATGTCCAATCTGAAATCCATAAGTCGTAAAATCAATAATCTCCCAATATTCAGGAGTCTATTTTTCCAACATCAATAACAACAACAAAAAAATAGGTGTTCAAAATGGTTTATTTTTTATTTTAAATAAAAAATTCCATGCCGATCGTGCGGCTCATCCATCAATCAGCCATTTGTGTGTCATGTCCAATCTTATTTTGAAAAACCGCCATAGAGCGAGTCCGTGAAAAACAAACCGCAAAGTAGTGAGGGACTACTGTAACGACAATACGTAATCATAACCATGAGTATTAATAGTCACAATACTCACTTAGAGCTTACAACTTAGCTTTTCAAAACACCTTTACATTTTTACTGGTGTGGTGGCAAAATATAAAAAAGTAATAACTGCTTGTGTTTCAGAACTATTACAGGAAAAGATGCTCATGGTTTAACTGAATTAGTTTGTCGGTGTTAGCTATTCAGCATCTTAGCAAAAAAATACAGTACCTACACTTTCAGTCAACAGAGTGAGACCAACAAGATTTTTCACTTTCTGAATCAGTGGAATTTAGTGGAGTACTAATAAAAATATGAATTACCTGTGGCTGTGTTAATTAATTAAAACATTATTTTGATAGAAGTAAGCAGGATGTGTAAAAGCAATGAAAACACAAAATGTTTATCTTATTAGATGATTCCTCAAGATAAATGCCATTACTATTACACTGAGTAGCTGCAACACTAAACGTCTGTGATCCTAGGACACATCTTACCTGATGAAGAGCAACATCAGTCACCCAGTAATTATTATCCTTGTCTGTAGTTATACCATGAGGCAAGTAAAACCTGCAACATCAGGAAAATATATCAATATTACACACATCTGTGTAATGATGAATACTTGTACACAGTAACACTGTTCTTTACAAGAAAAAAGCTAAAACACATTCTTACATGTTTCTGCCAGAAGCTTTCAGGATTCCACCTTTGGCTGGGTCCACTACCAAAACAGTGGACTGTTGAATAGGACCCAACGACCTCTGCTGGTATCTAGCCTGGAAGTTAAAAGAACTGAAAACACACAGAACAAACTTTGTTTTTTTGTGGTTCCACATAGAGCAGAGTGGTTTTAATTGAGACGAACTTTTCCACTTTTTCAAGGCTTTCTGATGAGACCAGCAGCTGAGTGGCATTAACTCAGGTGATAGCAGCATACTGTCAGTGTTGCTAGTGCCAGATGTAAATGCAAGGATACAAATATAATATATGTAACACCAGGGGTGCCTAACATTTGTCAGGTCTGACTCACATGTTTACTATGAGTTTGCTTTTTTTAAGTGAGTAAACTGGTTTCTCACCAATGCAGGGCTAAGTGCAAAGTGGAGAGCGGGCCATGAAATATACATTTTCACTACACATACTGCTCGAACCTTTCTAAGACATAAAGAGTAGATCTTTGCACACTGACTGCAATATCACCCACCCATTTGAAACTCAGCTCTACCACACTATCCAAGTACGAATGCTCATTTGCAAAGAAAATATTTACCACGCTGGGAAGTAAGAGTGATATTACACAGTTTACAGCGACACAGAGAGATGGCAGCCCACGTTGTGTTATTTTGAACACTCCAGAGTCACGTCTCTGTTGTATCAATGCTGTTAATGAAGTCGCTGTTGATCTTTGTTGTATCTCACTCATAATAACAAATTCTAGTACCCTCCTTTTGTTTTTTTTAAACCTGTAATGATGAAAAGTTACCATGGAGCAGGAACAAAGGGATCACAACATTACATAACAAATAAACTGGTGTCCCCGTCGCTGAGGGGTTTGAATAGTGAATGTTTGTAGATGTTGAGTGTTTTTCTGGACTGGAATTGAACAGGGAATGCAAGTAAACCTTAATGTTTTTGGTGAAAGATATTCCAGTGGGTAGGAGTTACACTGTGTTGAAGAACAGAGGAAGGGTTTTATTCATTTTTTGCTTGTCCAAGGCAGCGCAGAGCGACAGATCCTGGCAATGGAGGGAGCAATTTTATCCACCAGGGGGTGTCAAATGATGGTTTTGGCTACCATAGATTAATCTTTCTTCACCACAATCATTTGAGGAAACTACACTTTTAAGCAATATAAAAACTAGAAAGCACGGTTTCCTCAAATTATATAAGTGGCTGCCAAGATGTCTGTTTGTTTTTTGAGCTGTATATAACTTTAAAAATAGCTTATTTTTGTTATACAGCTCAAAAAACAGACTGACATATATGGCGGCAGCCATCTTGGATTATGATGTAGCAACCAAATTTTTGATAGTGGCTTTTCTTACGACTAGATGCAGCCACACACCAAAATGGAAGACGGTACCTCACTTATTATTCAACGTATTTTGCTCACAGCATGAACAGATGGATAGACAGATGGTATTTCTAATTCCCGCTCCTCGCTCCGTGACAGGAGACATTAAAAGACAAACAAAACGAATTAAAAAAGATGTTTAGACATTAGAAGACAAGATTAAGATTAAATCTACACATCGACTGCAAATGGTAAAATAATATTGCATCTATTAAAATCTAAAACAGTCTTTATATGTTTGTGTTTTCTCTGTTGAGCTGTATGTCTTTGAGCATATGTTGCATCACTCAGACTGTGATGGCTCTGATGCAGAAAAACATTAACATCAAGGTTTCTGTTAAATCAAACTGTTATGACATTTTCAAATGAGACCTGAAATATAAAACAACTTTATTAAGAGTTTAAAGAACTTACTCCCGTTCCCAGCGATGGTCACCTCGGTGAAAAATGACCAGGTTAGAATCTGAGTCGAGTGCAAGTCCTGACACCTGACCCAGCTGAAGAGAACTCTCTGGCCATGCTGACACTTGGTCCAAATGGTACTCTGCAGACAGACACACCACTAAATTAAAAGATTTTCAACATGGTGTTCAATGTGAGAACAGAAATGTGATAAATGATATAAATAGTTAAAGAGACTACTTCTTTAGTGATTTGTTTAAATAAATCACACCTCCATTGATTTTGAACCTTCTGTATTGTTACAAATGGTTCTTTTTGAATTCCACAAAGTAGCGCTTCATTCATCTCTGTCTTTGAGCTTACCCTGATGCAGAGCCTGCTCTTCTTTGTTGGAATTAAAGAGCTGTCCCTCATCTTGAAAAAGAAACACACTTTTATTTTTTGGTTTATGTATAAAGCATATACAGAACTTTTCATCAAACTTGTTTTCAGCATTTTAAATCTTAAAGTACGGTATCTGCAAGCCCAGCTTATCAAACGCTTCAGCCGTTGCTTCATTATTCTGTAGAACTTAATCAGAAGTGGGAAAAAGGTCTTCGTGGTTATTGTTGCCAGCCAGGGAAGTTGTGCAGGAGAGCACTGGCTTGGTCCCAGTGAGTAAGTGTTTGGACACACTGTGCGTGGGCCACTAACTCTGCTCCACATTTCAATGGCACAGTCTAAACCTCCACAAAACCTCTTTCATTTTGTTTAATGACTTCTGGCATTGGTTATACATGAGCATGGAGAGAGCTAAAAACAATCTGACCACACAACACACGGCCACTTTCTGAAGTTTAGTTCCTGCACAGAGAACTCGTCAGTGTTACTGAACAGATAATATTTGGCTTCCTCCTTAAATAATACAGGTTCAGCGTATTTTACTAAACACAGTAAAACTTTTAAAGCCGTATGTACACTTTTGACAACTGTTAAACTATAAATAAATGCATAAATGACAATGAAAATTGATGACTTCCTACCTGTAGAGGATTGTCCCCCGTGCATCATAGAGATCATGTGGTCTGGACTGACGGCGATGGGAACATTTGCCTCTGCTGGAATATGTCTGAACAGGTCTTTGGAGCCAGTCTCCATGCAGTTCATGAAAGGAATGGCATGTTCGCTGTCCATGTAATACATCATGTAGAAGTTGCACATTTCATCATTTGAGGTACCACTGCAGAGAAAGAAACACACAAAAAATATTAGAAACAAATAAATAAAGCTGTAAATAAATATTTAAATAAGAGGGCTCAAAATATTTGCTTGTTTATACTTATTTTTGAATAAAGAAAATATCTGTGACATTACACATGTGAATTTCATCCAAACTTTAAAGTTTCATGAACTTCAGACCACGGTAAGACAAACTGTCAGCTTTCTAAAACTTACATTAGAGCATCAAGTCTGACAGAATATTTCCTTAAAGTTACTCCTTCATGCCTCCAACCAAAACAACTCTCTGTGATCCAGGCAAACAAGTGAGTCTTGAGTGGGAGGAGAGCGAGTTTAATCTGCATGTGAATTTAGCTGCATAAACAGAAGCTTGTTAAGTTTAAAAGCTTGGAACTGCACACTCTCCAAGTTTAATTGAGAAAGCTCCTCGGATGGAAACCAAAACATCTTCAACTATAAAACAGAAATCCAGCTTCTTTGTTTAATTTTTTTATTCAAGTAGTTTAAGTCAATGGCATTCTTTTATATACTTTTCACAGCCACATGATAATCTTGTCAGACAACATGTGTGAATTATACTGATTTAAAAGATAAAAAAAATACAAACCGGATTCCAAAAAAGTTGGGACACTAAACAAATTGTGAATAAAAACTGAATGCAATGATGTGGAGATGGCAAATGTCAATATTTTATTTGTAATATAACATAGATGACAGATCAAAAGTTTAATCTGAGTAAATGTAACATTTTAAAGGAAAAATACGTTGACTCAAAATGTCACAGTGTCAACAAATCCCAAAAAGGTTGGGACAAGTAGCAATAAGTGGCTGGAAAAAGGAAATTGAGCATATAACGAACAGCTGAAAGACTAATTAACACTAAATAGGTCAATTGACAACATGACTGGGTATAAAAAGAGCTTCTCAGAGTGTCAGTGTCTCTCAGAAGACAAGATGGTAAGAGGATCACCAATTCCACCATTGTTGCGCAGAAAGATAGTGCAGCAATACCAGAATGGTGTTACCCAGCGTAAAATAGCAAAGACTTTTAAGTTATCATCATCAACCGTGCATAACATCATCAAAAGATTCAGAGAATCTGGAAGCTGTGCGTAAGGGTCAAGGCCGTAAAACTCTACTGGATGCTCGTGATCTCCGGGCCCTTAAACGTCACTGCACTTCAAACAGGAATGCCACTGTCAAGGAAATAACAGAATGGTCTCAGGAATACTTCCAGAAAGCATTGTCAGTGAACACAATCCACCGTGCCATCCGCCGTTGCCAGCTGAAACTCTACAGTGCAAAGAGGAAGCCATTTCTAAGCAAGCTCCACAAGCTCAGACGTTTGCACTGGACCAGGGGTCATTTAAAATGGAGTGTGGCAAAATGGAAGACTGTTCTGTGGTCAGATGAGTCACGATTTGAAGTTCTTTATGGAAAACTGGGACGCCATGTCATTCGGACCAGAGAGGACAAGGATAGCCCAAGTTGTTATCAACACTCCGTTCAGAAGCCTGCATCACTGATGGTATGGGGTTGCATGAGTGCTTGTGGCATGGGCAACTTGCATGTCTGGAAAGGCACCATTAATGCAGAGAACTATGTTCAGGTTCTAGAACAACATATGCTCCCATCTAGACGTCATCTCTTTCACGGAAGACCCTGCATTTTTCAACACGATAATGCCAGACCACATTCTGCAGCAATCACAACATCATGGCTACGTAAGAGAAGGATCCGGGTACTGAAATGGCCAGCCTGCAGTCCAGATCTTTCACCTATAGAGAACATTTGGCACATCATAAAGAGGAAGGTGCGACAAAGAAGGCCCAAGACGATTGAACAGTTAGAGGCCTGTATTAGACATGAATGGGAGAGCATTCCTATTTCTAAACTTGAGAAACTGGTCTCCTCTGTCCCCAGACGTCTGTTGAGTGTTGTAAGAAGAAGGGGGGATGCCACACAGTGGTAAAAATGGACTTGTCCCAACTTTTTTGGAATTTGTTGACGCCATGAAATTAGGAAACAGCAGATTTTTCCATTAAAATGATACATTCTCTCAGTTTAAACTTTTGATCTGTGATTTGTGTTCTATTCTGAATAAAATATTAGATGTTGGCACCTCCACATCATTGCATTCAGTTTTTATTCACAATTTGTTTAGTGTCCCAACTTTTTTGGAATCCGGTTTGTAAAAGTAACTAAGCATTTGGCCCAATAACTAATCAAACTCACCCAATGTAGGTTTTGGAGGTTCTGCCCTCACCAGTAAACACACATCTGGCAGCCATGATGTCACCATACTGCACGTTCACCTCCTTGTCAGCAGGATAGAAAGCCTGGAGACAAAACACATTCACTGCTGAGCAAAAACATTTTTGGAGGTGAACAACTAGATTATGTGTGTGAAAAGCCATAAGTGAGATCATGAATGTAGTTCATTATTTTCATAAACTGGGGTTATCATGCATTTTAGAGAATTTTTGGTGAAATGTTATGAATGTTTTTATATTGTGGCTGAGAACATCTTTCCCTCCTGCCATGAGAACTTGCTGGTCTGCTGTCTCCAAACATTCTCTCTTCTCAATCTGGAGGCCGACTCGCAGCTCCTCACCGACACCCATAAACCATATCTGTGTGCTTTTGTGAGTTGAGACCACAGCTGGCTTCAGGACGAAGGAACGTCCACTGAACTGTCAGTGTTATAAAAGTCAGCAGAAGACCGAGGTTCATTCTGTGGCACTGTATGTATGCATATGTATTTATGTGTGCACCCTGTCCTTAATCAACTAGCCGGTTAAAAAAAAGTCTTCACCTGCCGTGAGTTGTGTTTCTTTTGAGTAAACATTAATGAACGAGAGTTTGTCTAACAAAGCACAAACAATGTTTACATTTAATTCATACAAATACAGAAATAATTCCTAAACACATATACTTTATGTTAACGGATCAGAAAACAAAATCCACAAACAATAAATAAAAAACTTCCAGAAGAACTCTCATCTTGAGCAAGCATGAAGGCAACAGTGGAAAGGAAAAACTCCCTCATGAGGGAGAAACCTCCAGCAGAACCAGATTGTAGCAGACTGTGTGAGACATTGCCTTACTTTAGTTTCAATAGAGTTTAACAATTTTTTTTAATCAGATTTGTAAAAATGCAAATAATATGTTAGGATTTAATGCAGGGCAGTGTCATTTTTCATCTTACCTGGTACAGCCTAATAATAACTTGCCTGATTAAAGACTGCGTCTGCTTAAAATTTCAGATGAACAGATGCTTGTTTGCTTTAATAATTGTAGTTAAATTTAAAAATAGTACAATTTATTTTGAAGTTAGAAACACTACATGTAAACTAAGTCCACCTCATGATTCAATAGTGTGTAATCCCACCTTGAGCAAGACCTTGAGGTTGTTAAATATCTTGTGGAAAATTTGTGCAACGCATGTTCAAAACAACACAAACTGGATTATGAAACTATGTGGATAATTCAAACCCTGCTGTTGCACACCGAGTTGTCTTTGTCAAGATGTAAATTTTATGGAAATTACAGAAAGTTTTAAGAAGTACCGTACTACAAAAGACTGACAATCTCAACATACAGATGTGGGGTCCAGAATCAAACAGCATGTGCAGTTCTAAGAAAGTGAAATAAACCCTATAACAACGTTCACTGAAGGCTTTATTTCACTGTGCATGTCTTATCTTATTAATTTGCATCGTACAGATATGACTTATGCAATCTGCAACACACACAGCTGACAAACTGTCAGATGTCCGAACTGAAGCTGCTAAACAGAAAAATAACTCTCAGCTGCCTCCTGCAGCTTGTGGTTCACAGAGCATCAAAAGGATATCATTGTTCAAAGAGAAATCCCCCAGCATCAGATAACTAAAGGAACACAGTGAAGATGGGAATCGGCCGGAGATGGTAAAAGATGTGCAAGAACATTATCTTTAAAGATTGAACATTCCTTCAAAACTAAAGACAAAAACAAGATGGAAAATGCTCGTGGAGGCTTCAACAGGGGCCTGAAGCAAAACTGAAGGAACTGCAGGTATTTCTGTCAAGTTCTGGATGTGTTCTACATGTGACAGCAATGTTCTGTGTACTCGATAAGTCTGGACTATGAGGTAAGGAAGTCTTTTCTAACAACCCTCCCTAACCCCAAAAAACATTCAAGTCCAGCTAAACATTGCAAAAAAATCTATCAGGTTTCCCAAAAGCCTGTAAGAAAATGTGCTACAGTCTGTTGAACCCAACATTAAACATGTGGCCACACTTCCAAATGATCCTGTAGGTTTAATGCAGGAGCAAAAGTACCATACAAATCACCAAGCCCACAGTGAAGCATGGCGGTGAGAGGATCATGCTGTGGGGATGCGTTTCATCAGATGGAAAAGGTGTTTCAGTCAATATGAACTGTTCCAAATACCCGTTTATTTTAGCACAAAACCTTCAGGTGTCTGCTAAAGCTGAAGATGATCATTTAGCATTGCAGCATGGTTTTTAAAATTATAACTAAAATATTAATTTGATTTGTTCTTTTGAATCATTTTAGTACCTGTTCCTCTTTAAACAACTAGAACAGGGCTGTAGCAGTGTGTTTGGAGTCGTTGTAAAACCACTGGAAGACTCAGGCATGTTTGAAACATTTTAACATTCCATTATTAAAAAAACAGATCAAGGTGCATTTTAGCTTAGGAGAAGAAAATAACATGATTATAAATTAAATTGTAAATGATTAAGTTGTTTTATTCAACATTTTTCAATCAGGTCATCTGGACAGTTTCTTTTTTTGTGCTGAAACGTTTCGCCTTTGATCCGGAAGGCTTCATCAGTCAAGGAAACACAACAAAACTGATTCTTCCCCCAACAGCTTACTCCAAAGTGGAACAAACCAGTTTGGTTGGTGCTAAGATGGTTTCTTTGGTACGCCCCCTCTGGATTATTGAGCATGGACTTTGTTGTTTTCAACCAGTTTAACACAACTGTCAACAAGGAAGAGGTCCGGCAATGGAGGAGGGGCGTACCAAAGAAACCATCTTAGCACCAACCAAACTGGTTTGTTCCACTTAAAGTAAGCTGTTGGGGGAAGAATCATTTTGTTGTGCGTTTCCTTGACTGATGAAGCCTTCTGGATCGAAGGTGAAACGTTTCGGCACAAAAAAAGAAACTGTCCAGATGACCTGCCCGAAAAATGTTGGATTATATACCTGGATTATTGAGCATGGACTTTGTTAAGTTGTTTTATATTTTTTGTTTGTGACTATATTTGCTTTAAGCATGTAAGCAGCCTAGAAAATGGGTCTCTTTTGTTAGCATGCGAGTGCATCCAGGGGATAAGAGGCTGGAAACAGCTGCACAAAGAAATACAAACAAACAGCTGTGTGTAATGCATAATATGGACTCTGGGTTGGGTTACTAACCTGCGGTAACTGAGGGGACTGCCTTCCGATCAGGCTCCACTTCCCATTACGAATCCTATAACCGCTGACCACTTTGCCTGTGAAAAAGGAATCAACCATTCATCCTTTCATTTATGGAATAAACTCAGAAATAATGAACTATCTAAGGTGGCTCACCAAGACGGTGTGTATGGGTCCTGAAGGCAAACGGGTAGATGGGATATGAAGTATAATCACAAGCAATATCCGAGTTTGTAACTAAAAGATAAAAAGAATAAGGTTGGCTTAACTTTGAATGTCCCTTTTCATGCTCTTATCATTTCATGCATTTCATTTGAGCTGTGGGCTTTGGGGCAATGTGTGTTATACACAGTGTTCCTTTTTTTAATTTTTTACTTTAATAACAAAACATTCTTAAAAATGTTCAAAGGATAAATAGTGATTAACTTTTACTGAAAAGAAGTACTGCCAACAACAGACACATCTCATATTTTCAAAAAATAGAATATCATGATAATGTTAAAAAAGTATTATCAACTTCCACCATTTAACCCTTTCCTCTGCCTTCACTTGCTTCCTCTTATTGACTACAAGTCATCCTACAGTTTACCAAGCACCAGACTCTTAGCACTTTCAGATTTCTCCTCCTTCTTCCTGAAGTCACTGTTCACCACATATTTCCATGCTTTTGGCAAAATTCACTACCGTCTATCCTCTTTCATTTTTGTACTCCTTCATACCAAACCAACCAAACACCTCCTTATATTATGGGCGGCTATGGCTGAGTGGAATGAGCAGTCGTCCTCCAATGCAAGAGTTGGGGGTTCGAATCCACCAGCAGTCACATGCCGAAGTGTCCCTGGGCAAGACACTGAACCCCTCATTGCCTCTGATGTGTGTCCCATCAGTGTATGAATGTGATAAATTCTTCAGATTCACAGATACCGGTGATTCTGTGCTGCTTGTCCTGTTGGACCTGACAGCCGCCTTTGACACCATCGACCATGAGATCATCATTGTTAGGTTGGAGCAGTGGGTGGGCGTCACAGGATCAGCCCTCAATTGGTTCAGATCTTACCTCACTGACAGATCCTTTTGTGTCTCCATCAAGAATTTTAGTTCCGCAGAGGCAGAGCTTAAATGGGGGGTTCCGCAGGGGTCCATCCTGGGTCCCCTCCTATTCTCTTTATACCTGCTGCCGCTTGGTGCTATTTTCTGGAAACACAACATTCCCTTCCACTTCTATGCCGATGACTGTCAAATTTACTTCCCCCTAAGACACAATGGTACATGCTCTATTCAACCGCTGCTCAACTGCCTAGCTGACATGAGGGACTGGATGGCTTTAAACTTCTTAAGTTTCAATGAAAAGAAGTCTGAAGTCATGTTGTTCCCTCCCAATGACACGATCACAAACCACTGCATCGACCTCTCCGCTCTAACCCTGTCGGAAAAACAAAGTGTCACTAATCTGGGAGTGATAATGGACCCTTCCCTGAAGCTTAACAATCATGTAAACATGATTGTTAAATCATGCTTCTTCCAACTGAAGCGGCTGTCTAAACTGAAGCCCATATTGTCCAAAAATAACCTGGAGACAGTAATACATGCACTCATTACATCTAGGCTTGATTACTGCAATTCACTCCTGTTTGGTATCAGTCAGACCTCCATTGCACAACTACAACTGGTCCAGAATGCAGCAGCCCGATTGTTAACCAGTATAGGCAAAAGAGAGCACATTATACCAGTTTTGGCCTCACTGCACTGGTTACCGATTCACTTTCAAATCCAGTTCAAAATACTCATGTATGTCTACAAATCACTGAACAGTGTCGCCGCCCCCCCCCCCCCCCCCCATCTCTCTGATTTGCTACAACCGTATGTCCCACCACATTCCCTGAGGTCAGCGAACCAGTTGCTCCTCACAGTTCCAGGAACTCGTCTTAAGCGCAGAGGTGACAGGGCCTTCTCTGTAGCAGGACCAAGACTTTGGAACGAGTTACCTCTGTTTGTCAGACTGGCCCCCTCCCTCTCGGTTTTCAAGTCCCGTTTAAAAACCCACTACTATTCAGTAGCTTTCAACACCAGATGATCTGTGTTTTGATCCTGTATGCTCCACACTGGTTTGTCGTCATTATCTGCATCGTTTTTATGTCGATATTCTGATTTACCTCATTTTGTATTTTGCTTTGTGTGTTACCTGTTGTTTTGTCTGTACAGCACTTTGTTTGGCTTTGTAGCTGTTTTAAGTGCTTTATAAATAAAGTGGTATGGTATGGTATAAAAAGCACTGATTAGTCTCTAGAATGATTTGTTCAGTTAGCTTTGTATAGATCTAGTAGAGTGCTGTATGAATGGGGACACAGATTGTAGTGTAAAGTGCTTTGAGTGTCCTGATATGAGAGAAAGGTGCTATATAAGTACAGTCCATTTACCATATCACCTCTGTTCCCTTCATCTACATGTCTATTCATCACTCTATTCTGCTTGGGAACACTTACTACCACTTCATATACTGTAATTTACTCCACACTTCCGATTTGTCTTCAAACTGAACACACTGACAATATTCAACATAACTTCTTACATTTCCAGCTTTAGACTCATGCGCTTTTCAAAACTCTCTTCCCATCCACTGCACTCTTAACGCATCTTCTTTTATCAAACGAAAGTCACCCCAATTGATGCACGTTAGCCAAGTAATGAGATTTTGAAAAATCTCAAAATTAACTGAGAAAACGGCAACAAAAATAATCTTGTGACGCAATGCAATTTTCAAAATAGGATGCCATTGTTGAAGTCTAGTTTTATATAAAAACAAAAGCTTTTAAATAAATTACACATTCCTGAGCAGTTCCTGTGTCCATCCGCTTGAGAAGCTAGACAACAACAAGAAGAACTACATACTGTATACTTAGGCTTCACAAATATATCTAAAAACTTTGAAAAGTCATACCTTTTTTTCCAGGAAGTATAACCGTGTCCACAGACATCAGCAGGTATATGCCAGCAATGAATGGCTGCCTGTAAGGAAGGAACAAGATCCAAAGTAGGTTGGACAAATTAGAATTATTTTGTCCTACATAATTCACTGACAAAATATTTACGTGTTCACAGTACATTCAAGCAGGATAGTCAAGTAATGAAATAATAAAAAAAAAAAAATAAAAAAAATCAGACTTAGCTACATTCTTCTAACTTGAATGATTTGTTTTCAAATAACATACACTGCATTTCTCACTAGTCTATTCTTTTGATTTTTTTCCGTACATGTTTTAATAAAAATAAAATAATTATAGCACATAGGCCTTTGCACAGTGCAAAATGAGTTAAAATTGTATTTTTATTCACCAACAGATTTTTGCCTTAAAATGAATGTATTTAATTCAAAGGAATTATATGGTAAACATTTGAGCTCATGTAGTCATTCGCACTCTGCCAAATGGCTGCGAATGTGGGGAAATGCTGTGTTATTCAGTTAAAAACATTAGTTTGGTTAAGTCAAAACTTACTTTTTTGTTGTCATTCTTAAAGTAAGTCCAGAGCAATCTTTATGATGGGCTGTAAAACAATTTGTTTTATAAATACAAAGTGACGCAGAACGGGTCAAATGCAGCAAATACTTAATAAAAGACTGGTTGCTTTGAAATTGGCAAGGATTTTAGATGTTGGCAGCAAAAAAAGAAGAAAGAATTGATGGTAGCACTTAAAGTTCTCTGATCCAGTGTTATTGAATGAGTTGTTCACAAGTGTGGTGTGAATAAACAAAAAAAACTTTCAATATTCTTGAGAATGTTTAGAGTCATGTTTAAAAACACTAAAGAATTACAAGTCAGGTTTGAAAACAAATTACGTTTTTACAACTAGAACCTACAGCAAAACTAATTTTCTATTAACAATATTGTGATTAATTTACCATTTGATCTGGACAAAATGTTTTGGTATATAAAGTTATATTTCTGAGATCAAATCCTAAAAAGACCTTAAAGGATCATTTTAAAAATGCACAGAATTTATCGTTGATCTTTGCGCTTCAGTACTTACTTCTGAAAGCGCGAGCATCTCCATAATGAATCTGCAGCACAAAGTAGGACATTCCTGAATTTTTTCCAACTCTAAACCCGACATCTGGAAAAAAAAAAAAAAGAGAAAAAGCTGTTCAGAAATGGCAGAAAAACACCAAGTCAAATACCAAATAAAAAGTTATAGGCATTATAGGACCTTTATAAAAAAAAGTTCATTATATGAAGTGAACATGTTTTATCCTCACCTACTCCAAACCTTCTCATAAAGCCATTTAAAAACATAGAAAGCTTGAAAAACTCTGTGTAGCAGTATAGAAATGTACCCGGCTAGGGAAATGCCACTTCTGTTAGATAAGTGGGCGGAGTATAAAAGGAGGCAGCAATGCCTGGTCTGGCACTTGGTTTCCTCTTCCTGCTCCCACTACGTGGCTCTCAACCCGTGTGGGGTTTGGTTGTGGCCGAGCAGCAGATCATGTTATGCGGGCTGTTCTGGCTTTCGAGGGATGAAGGCCAAGCTTGCTGCTTTCCTCCTCCTCCTGTGGATGTGCATGTCTGCATGTGTATGTGTCAGCAGGTGAGTAGTTGGGTCCCAGCTCATTGTCAGCTTCAAAATTTACTACTGTTGGTGATTGGTTGACTGAATTTTATAGGTCCTTTGAGGTTGGGACCACTGCTGTTTTGTCTCTACGGAAGATCACTGTTTTGTCTCCTCCGAGGTTACAACTGTTGTCTCTACCAGTGTTCTGGCTCTATGGAGGACCACGGCTGTCTGGGTTCTCCAGATTATTGCACTTAATTGTCTTTAGACGCCTGTGGCTGCTTCACTGGACTTCTCCACAACGAATTGTTTGGGGCGCGGTCCCTGAGCACTCAAGTCAGTGGCGTGGGTAATTGGTCACACCCTGGGTCTAGACTACAACTTTTAAAATGAGTATTTGGTTTGTTAAAGTATCTTAAAAAACTTATTTAAAAAGGTATTTATAAAAATGGAAATGAATACACTCTTCTAAATTTGCAAGCCTGTCTCAAATATCACAAGTATTTTCGTAAGATCTACGAACCGGTGTGCCTTGTAAACCGCATAATTTTAATGAGAACCACTTGGTACCACCACATCTGGAACCATGCTGTATGTGAAACTGACCGGATAGCAACATCATCACAAAACAGTCTAATCAGAGAGCAGAGTTGTTCTGCCCTCAGCTCCACTGCAGTTCATGAAAATGAAGCGGATTTTCAATATGGCTGAAACCAGTGAAAACTTCTGAAAATCTGGTAGGTTGATTTTTGTACAATTCAAAACAATTGTAACTTTTTTTTTATGTACCTGCTAGTTAGAAAACATTTTTGGGGTTTATTAAAACCCAATTATACACAAGTTGAATAAAAATCACATGATCAGCTTCAACATACAAACGCACAATAAAAGGGTCATAAAATCATGCAAAAAAAGTTTATAAAAGTGCAAATATAATCAAGTAAATGGGTTTACACTTTTATATTGAATATAAAAAAAACAAGTTTAAAAAATAATTTTGGTAAGCCAAACTTATCCTAAATTGTTTTTAAAGGTATTTATGGTTAATTTGAGTTCTTTTTTTTTTTTAATTTTCCCCAAGCTGCATTAAAATGCTATTCAAATGAAAATGGTCATGATCATGTTCTGTCATCTGCCTCCGCACCTGTAACTCTGCCACGCCCCCTCTGCACTTTCTGCTTGACGTAATTTGAGATTTTTAAAGGCAGAGCCCAAGGGTGCAGGCAGGACTCGAGACTCTGTGGATAAAGCACTTTTAAAAAAACTAAACAGCTGTCGAGGCAGCAAAACTTGCATTACGAAGAGACACGTAGAGAATCACAAGGAGGCACTCGGGGAAACACCAGGGACTCGGGAGGTTTACCAGACGAATACAAGACGATGCCCAGACGAGGAATAACACCAAGACAGACTTGTATACAAACACTGACGAGGACTAAACACAAAACACCTGTCAGGCTCACTGGTGTGGGAAAGGGGAAATCGCACGAGAGGAAACAGGACAGAGACACCACTAGGGGCACAATCACTACACTGCTCATTAGAGCCTGATTTTCTGCACATGGTCTGAGCCTTATTTAAGGACTCTTCTCACCTCTCCAACCTACCAGATTACCAGACCTTTTATGGTACCTGTTTTCCAGCCATCTAGTTTCTTGCTCTCGCCTGTTTTCATACCTTGCTCTTCGGATTTTGACCTCATGCCTGCCTTGTGGATTTACTGTTCTTCCTGCTCCTTGTATGGTTTTGGTTCTGCCCATCTGACCCTGGTTTTTGACTACTTCTGACTACAAATTCTGGATTATGGTTTGACCTTTGGATTTGTTCTTGGACTTCTGACTCCCTGTGTATAACCCCACCTCTACGCCTGGACCTTGCCTTTGGATTACTCCTCTGACCATGTCTGTCACAGCATTAAAGGCCTCCCTCTGCAGTGGCCTTCCCACCAGTTGCGGTGACGTCATCACTTCAAGTTTTGACAGGTGGCTCTCACCCCACCTACCTGTAAAGATGTGTTCCCGCAGCTGGATCCTGACTCCCAACTACAGCTGCAAAATCAATAAAACTGTATTTGTTGTTTTCACATTCTTGTTGTCTGGCTGAATCTGTATCCAAAACCCTGACCGCTGACAGTATAATCTGGCCATAATGGATTCTAAATCAACACAAGAGTGGTCTCTGGTGTTGAGGGCTCTATTGTTAATTTGGACATACAGATGCAGCTGATGATGACAATGTTCCGTACCAGGTTTGGCACATAAACCCTCAGAGGCTCTTCCTCATCCCACACCTTCAGAGTCCCACACCTTTGGCCAGCCCCACACCTTCGGCAGGGCCCATGCCGGCCTTGGGCAGGCCCCACATCTTGGGTGGGCCCCACGCCTTCGGCGGGATTCACCTGAGGGTTCCACCACACCTTCTGAGGGTTCCACCACGCCTCCCAAGGGTTCCACCATGCCTCCCGAGGGTCCAACGCTTCCTGCACAGTCCACGCCTCTGGAGGGTTCCATACCTCCTGAGGGTCCAACTATGCTTCCTGTGCAGTCCATGCCTCTGGAGGGTTCCACACCTCTGGAGAGTCTCATGCCTCTGGAGGGCCCCATGCCTATGGAGGGTTCCACACCTCTGGAGAGTCTCATGCCTCTGGAGGGCCCCATGCCT